TACTCTGAGTTTCTGTATTTCCAACTACTCTTAAACAGCCACCGTGTGCCGCCACGTGATGTACTTGAAGGCTACACACAAAACAGAACAGAAGCAAATGGTGAACCAATTGGGTATATACATAAACGACCGTAACAATTGCGTCCATCACTCTGCCTGCCTGAGGCCCTTTTTAGCAACAGAGTCCAAAATTTCCATAACCTGGGCCACCTTCTTCTTCAGGATAAAGTTGGCTGATGTGTGCTATGTTGTTTTTTACTTTTTTGGACCCAGACATAGCAGGGTACCATTTTCAGTTGTATTAACTCTTTCTTGCTTTATGGAACCAGAGGCAAAACAAGAATCTTCAGTACGAGACATTTTACAAACCACGTATAAATATATATATGTTGTTGTTGTTGTTATGTGCCATCGAGTCAGCCCTGACTCATAGTGACCCCTCCTTGGGTTTCCAAGGTGGTATCACTAAGGAAGTAGATTGCCCAATCTCCCTTCTGAGGAGTGGCTGGTGGGTTTGAACCACCAGCCTTCTGGTTAGCAGTCAAGTGCCTTAGGCACTATGCTACCAGAGTTCCTAAATATATACATATACATTAATAACAAACCAAACTCACTGCTGTTGAGTCAATTCCGACTCATAGCAATCCCTCCTTGGGTTTCTGAGGCGGTGTCTCTATGGAAGTAGATTGCCCAATCTTCTTTCCAAGGAGTGGCTGGTAGGTTTGAACTGCCAGATTTCTGGTTAGTAGTCAAATACCTTAGGCACTAGGCCACCAGAGCTCCCATGTATAAAATAAATTTTTTAAAAAGTCAGGTCCAGCTAAGAAGTAAGTTAAGATAACAAATGGAAAATGCTTCTTCTCTGTTACAGATTTTTCGCAGGGCACTGATGTCACACCTATTTCTTGAAACATACGCCAGCTACTAACTTTTACTTTTTTTTTTAATAATTTCTTGTTTGGAAAATATTCATAACCTTACAAGGCTTTCTTCTAAACCTTAAAGCACTGAAAAGGTTTTTGTTTGTTTGTTTGTTTTAAAAAAGGAGAATTTCTTTTTTTCCTTTAGAGGTGAAAAATTTTCTGTAAGACCCAAAAAGATGAGAATAAAACTGAGAAGTAAACCATTTTTCCTGATTTTAATTTTATCAACATGTGTTGATTAAAAAAAAAAGTCAATTCAGATGAAATTCAACCAGGTGACATTCAATGAAATAAGTAAAAACACCACACATCTGTCAATTTGTCATACTGTGGTTGGTGGCTTTTGTGTTGCTGTAAGGCTGGATGGAGCCTATGCCACTGGTATTTCAAATGCCAGCAGGGTCACCCATGGTGGACAGGTTTCAGCAGAGCTTCCAGACTAAGACAGACTGGGAAGAAGGAAGAGGCCATCCACTTCTCAAAGAATTGACAAGTGAAAACCTGATGAACAGCAGTGAAACACTATCTAATATATTACTGGAAAACTTGATGAATAGCCCTGAAATGTTGCCTGAAATAGTGCCAGAAGATGAGCTCTTCAGGTCAGAAGGCACACAAAATATGACTGGGGAAGAGCTGCCTCCTCAAAGTAGAGTCGACATTAACGATGTGGATGTTTCAAGCTTTTGGGACCTCCATTTGCTGATGAAGCATGACTCAAAATGGGAAGAAAGAGTTGCAAACATCCACTAATAATCAGAATGTAGAAGTATGAAGTACGAATGTAGGAAAATTGGAAGTTGTCAAAAATGAAATGGAACACATAAAGATCATTATCCTAGGCATTAGTGAGGTGAAATGGGTTGGTTTTGATCATTTTGAACCAGCCAATCACATGATCTACTATGTCCAGAATGACATTGAAGAAGAATCACATGGCATTCATCATCACAAAGAACGTTTCAAGATCTATCCTGAAGTACAATGCTGTCGGTGATAGGAATGATATCCGAATACCTACAAGGAAGACCAGTTAATATTACTGCTATTCAAATTTACACACCAACCACCAAAGCCAAAGACAAGAAAGATTTTTACCAACTTCTGCAGTCTGAAATTGACCAAACATGTAATCAAGATGTATTGATTATTACTGGTGATTGGAATGCAAAAGTTGGAAACGAAGAATCACCGGTAGTTGGAAAATACGGCCTTGGTGATAGAAATGGTACTGGAGATTATGTGATAGAATTTTGTAAGACCAATGACTTATTCATTGCAAATACCTTTTTTCAACAATATAAATGGCAGCTATATACATGGACCTCACCAGATGGAATACACAGGAATCAAATCAACATCTGTGAAAAGAAATGATGGAAAATCTCAATACCTTCAGCCAAAACAAGGCCAGGAACTGATTGTGGAACAGACCATCAACTGCTCATATGCAAGTTCAAGTTGAAGACAATTAAAACATGTCCATGAGAGCCAAAATATGACCTTGATTATGTCCCACCTGAATTTAGAGATCATCTGAAGAACAGATTTGATGCACTGAACACCAGTGACCAAAAACTAGATGAATTGTGGGATAACATGAAGAACATCATACATGAAGAAAGCAAAAGGTCATTAAAAAGACAGGAAAGGAAGAAAAAAAACAAAATGGATGTCAGAAGAGACTCTGAAACTTGCCCTTGAATGGAGAACAGCTAAAGCAAATGGAAGAAATGACAAGATAAAAAAGCTGAACAAAAGATTTCAAAAAACAGCTAGAGAAGACAAAGTCAATTATTGTAATGAAATGTACAAAGACCTGGTGTTAGAAAACCTAGAGGGAAGAACACGCTCAGCATTTCTCAAGCTGAAAGAACTGAAGAAAAAATTCAAGCCTCAAGTTGCAATATTGAAAGATTCTATAGGCAAAATATTGAATGATGCAGGAAACATCAAAAGAAGATGGAAGCGAGGACTTCTGGCAAGATGGCAGAACAGGCAGACAAGCTACTTTGATCCTCTGCAACAAAGCAATGAAAACCAAATGAAACTGATACAGAAGATGATCCTGGAACCCTGAGCTTTGAAGGGAAGGATAAAGAAGTGGACTAAATACCAACTAGTAGAAGAACCTGAATAAAACTGAGTAAGGAGGCAATTGGAGCTGGGCACTGCATGGCTGTTCTCAGGGCACAGCCATTTTAAATATTTCCCAAAAGCAACCTAAGAATTTGCTCTGCTCCCCAAAGCTGTATGAGCAAAGACTGCATTGCTAT